TCCCTAAGCTCTTTAGTGAGCAAGCTGAAGAAGATGATCAAGCGCTGGAGCGACTGCATCAAGCTGCTGTGCGTGGTGAGTTGCGTCGGAAGAAACGTCATCATGGTGTGGGGATGGATGACAGTGAGGATGAAAGTGATGATGAAGATCAACGTGCTAGACGGGCACGTCATTCAATGAAAAGGGCACGAGTTGATCGAGACGACGTGAAAGCATTGGGTGGGTGACCTGTGCTTGTTTTATAGAGTGGGACTCATCATTTGGCCACAGAGGCCAATCCGGAGACGAAAGCATTTGCCGAGTCATACATGCAGACTGTACTGGATGATGGTAATGACTTCGACCACCTTGGAGATGCATCACAGGAGTCTAGCAGGACTCTTGTTGGGGACGATGACGAAGAAGGTGACGTGAACGTGGGCAAATTCACGCGTGATGACTTGATACGACAAATTTACGATGGAGGGTTGGAAGACGAGGTTCGCCCGCTTGCTGTGCTCTAGTAATTCTTGTGCTCTTCTAACAACCGGTCTTCAGGATTATGAGATGGACCTGACCGATACGTTGTGGATAGACGGCAAAGACGAGGAAGACCACATCCGCGTGAAGGCTGTCAAGTTTAACAAAAGGATGGCTGGTGCTTCAATCATAGGTGCAACCGAGCTTGACGATGGTTTGGAGGTCAGTTGTGGCTCATGTTCTATTGTTCCTGAATTGATGTCTTTCAAAGTTCCTATCTTCCGTGTCCAAATCTAATCAACGTCAGCGAAATCAAGAGCAGTCTTGGATGAAGCGCGAAGGAAAGATAAGAAATCCAGGTACATCACGATCTGTTGGCGGTGCAGCCGTAACCAGTCTAGGAGGCAGCGCTCTCCGTAAAGTGTCGCGTGCGTCGTTGGCTGGTGCAGGCTCCGCGCCTCCAGTCAATGTACCAAAGCCTGTGAAGGCAGCAGAAAGTTTCCTATCGGCAGTCGACAGAACGAACAGGTTTGCATAGGCAGCCTTGGTTTATTAGTCACGTGTTGGTAGTTTTCAGCTTTGTGCCTTCGTTGAAGTTATAAGTACATGGAGTTTCTAGCGCTAGTAACTAGTGTTGAAGAGCGGTAAGCAAGATGAGGGGAAGGTGCGAATGAAGAGGGAAGAAAGCAAATATGGGATGGCAATATAGTAATAAAGTGGTACAGTCTCCTGAAGGCTGAGGAGTAGCTTCAAAGGATGGGTATAAGAAAGCACAGGACAAATAGTATGTCCCAGTAAAGGGTACTGAACCGGGACAAAGCAGTATCAGTGATACTGCTTTCCGCCAAAGGGTTTTCCGAAGCGCACCCAAGATGCTTTCGGACGAGAGGATGGAACGCTGTAAGTTCGCGATGCTTGACGCGAACGTGAAGGACTGCGCCGTTTTCTGTTGCTGTTTTGAATCTAAAGACATGTAAAATAAGATCTTTTGGGGTGTAGACATGTGGATTCACTTTGTGTCGGAGCAAGATGAGCTTCGCCATGTTGGCGGGAGGACCAGTCTCACGGAAAGGATTTCCTAGAAGTAAATATGAGAAACGGGTGCAAGGGCCAGAGAATGAATGCGTACGCGAAGCGACGAGCGCGAGACCTGATTCATGAGCGTCGAGAGACTCGTCAGCGGACATTATTGATAGCCATAGAGCGGGCATGAAAACGTAGACGAAAAGGAGGGCAGCAAGGGAGCTAAGTGTCATGAGGGCCAACATTGTCGCTGAGCGCGGACAGCGCTAGGGCGCGAAAGGCGCAGAATGGTGGCGAGGGAGAGTTGGCCCAGAGTCGGCGGGATTATTTGGCGGAATTATGGTGAGACTTGTTTTCTTTTTATTGTGGCTGTGCCGGTGATGGCACTCTCTGTCGCAACAGTGACCAGTGTAGGACTCATTTGCAAAGCTGCCATTGCTCTCGGTATCTGCTCTTTGCGCGTCAAAGGTCTATCCACTCTCGACACCGCACTACATAGCCAACACAGACAAGGCATTCTGACTGGTCCGTGTCCAACTCACCGACGATTAACATGATTTTTTACTAAATTGTTAGTTTCAAACCACATCTCCACGTGACTCTTCTTACTCATGCACTATCTTCTTGCTCATTGATTCTCTGTCAGCGTTGATGACCCTTTAGTTTGGGCTGCTCTTCCACTCCGGTACTATCTCAGTTCC